TATGTGTGAATGTGGAAGGTGGTACTTGTTTGGTCTTGTATATATTTTCATAAGCTCGGTATTTGGTTGAAATAAATGTTTTGTATGCACATGCCTTCTACTGGTTGCATTAGCTAAACCCTTGGGTGCCCTTCCCCAATATAAAGTCTGAGAGTGGAGTCCGGCTGGCTCTGTTATACAATCCTTGACAGAATTTACATGCTCAATTCAGTTTTCTTTGATGGCCTAAATGAAGCTTGCTTTACTCTTTATTGTTGTGTTTTCAAAAGATGAGATTCTGAGTTTTTCTGTGCTTACAGTGATTCTACCTATCAGGACTTTCTCTTCTCCTAACAGGGAAGGTCACCCACCTTGCTCCATTTTACCTTTTTATTTTATGTTATATACAAAATTATCCTTATTGTTGGAAGAATGTTAATATTTATTTGGTATAATTGTATAAATTTGGATTAATCTTTATTTGGTTTATATTCTTAAATATGAGTTTTGGAAAATTAGGGGGAAAAAATTTGAGTTTTGGGGCAGGATTTTTTTTTTGTTAAAACTGTTTTGGGACAGGATGCAACAAAGATTGACCTTTGCCCCAAGTTCACCCCATTGCCATCCCTACTTTTTACATCGTTTCGGCTCATATTTTCAGGCATTCAAAGCATTTCCCATGTTAAAGAGTAATGTTAACTAGTTGAAATGAAGACTCATGTTGAAAGATTTAAAATAATACAGCTGCACACACTAATTTTTTTTTCCGCATTAGCGAATTATATTCAGGTTGCAGCTGAACTGAATTTTTTTCAATTTCAATTCCATGATTTTAAGTATTTGTTCTAGGAGCAAATTTGATAACTTTTCGCATTAGCGAATTAGTGGTGTTCAAAAATTCAAAATTCATGAACATTTACTCATTTGACCAAATTCATTTTTACTGACCCTGAACATGGGAAGTGAATCTTTGTTTTGCCAATCTTATTTTTAGTAGGATGAAAAGAAAAAGTTTTTGAAAAGTAGAATCCCTTCACATTACTTTTACTGGTTTTGTCAATCTTATACTGCTGCTATGGTGTTGATCAATACATGGAGTCACTGTCTTGTGTTTAGTTACATACTCTTGTGTATCTGCTAGACTTCTTTTATGTAGAAATTTTGAAAGAATATTTATATGAATTATATTCTTAAATTAGGTAATGAGTTGGAATTTAAACGGGCGAGGCGGCGAGGGAATTTAAACGGTTGGAGTTGTTTGCTACAAGATTTTTAGACAAAAGAACTTTAGTACGGAAACACAAGAATGACTGCTGCTTGTCCCAAACTCGTGGTGTTGCCATCCCTACTTTTTACATATTTTCGGCTCTAGTAGAATGGATGCAAAGGATATTTTCCTTTGTTAATTAAAGGAACTCAAAGCATTTTTCATGTTAAAGAGTAATGATAGGTTAATTGACAACGTAATGTTAGAGTAATGTGATTAGTCGATTTAACCGGCAGAAGTGTAGATTCATGCCGGTTAAGTTATCATGAAAATTGTTTTTCCATGTTAAATGGTGTGCCCTAAAGGCATCAAGTCATAATTAGTGTAACAACTTTGCTTTGATTTGAATATTGTATTTTAACGAAAAGAAAATACAAATACATTTTTCATGAATGTGCCACAAGAATTAGTAATTTTCTTATAAAAAAATAAAAAATGGTACCTACCAAATTTGTTTACTCTTTTGAGTTTATTTTTTGGGTCTATTTTTGGAATTAATAATTTATCCATTTCAATTTTGTTTTTATTTTTTTGGGCATTGATTTGAGGCCATTGTTATGGACAATGCTTGTCCTAGGCCATATAATAAGGAAATTTCCTTTTTATAAGTACTTGGCCCAATGAAATTTAACCACGTGTGTAAATTTTTTTTTAAAAAAATTACCATTTTTTTCTGGATAAAAATTAATCCCCAACATCTTTCTCTCTCTCAAACTCTTCCCTCTTCCCTCTCCACTTTCATGGTTTCTTAACGCGAAACTACTTTTGGGTGTAGAACTGAGAAGATAAATATCAGAGAGGATAAAGAACGGAAATTGCTTCATCTTCTTATTGCATTCACCTAATTAAATAGAGGTGTAAAATAACAAACTGAACACAAAAGCTGGAAGTGGTTCCGCATATCTGTAACAGACTTGCATCACTACTAGGATACTCCTAAAGACTAGATAAACCAACAAACTCCTAAAGACTAGGACTAATAGAGATTTATTCAAAATTAAACTCTTAACACCCTCCCTTAAACTAAAATGTATTGCTAACATTTAGTTTATAGAGTTACATCACACTGGATCCTCCATCAAACAGACACCAAGCAATTGTCGTAGCTTCATGAAAAGGGGTAACTTGAGGGCTTTGGTAAGAATATCTGCAAGTTGTTCTTCACTTCTACAGTAGATTAGATCAATGTCTCCATTGTTAACAAGATCACACAAGAAGTGGTACCGCACATCAATGCGTTTACTTCTTCCATGCATAATAGGATTCTTTGACAACTTGATTATAGAACTATTATCACAGTAGACTGAGGTGGGGCTATTTGGATGGTTGTGTAGTTCTTCAAGTAGCCTCCTCAACCAAATAGCTTGACATGCACAAGAAGCAACAACAACAAATTCAGCTCCGGTAGTGGACAGAGTAACAATTTGTTGCTTCTTTGATGACCAAGACACAGCACCAGACCCCATCTTAAAGACATATCCTGAAGTGCTTCTTCTATCATCTGGATCACCTGTATAGTCACTATCAGTGAAGCCAAGTAAATCAGATTTTCTTCCAATCTTGTAGAGTATGCCAAAATTGATGGTCCCTTTCAAGTATCGGAAGATTCTTTTGGCAGCAAGAAGATGCAATTCTGTAGGATGTTCCATGTATCTACTAATGAGACTGACTCCATACATTATATCTGGCCTAGTCGTAGTCAAATACATAATACTTGCCACGATCTGCTTGTATAGAGTGCTATCAATCTTCTTACCTTCATGATTTTTACTTAGCTTCATGCCAAGTTCGACTGGTGTAACAACCGAATTGTAATTCGCCATTTGAAATCTGTCCAAGATTTCTTGAACATATTTCTTCTGTGAAATAAAGATTTCATCAGAAGTTTGTGCTGCTTCAATGCCAAGGAAGTAGTGCATAAGTCCAAGATCAGTCATATCAAACTCAGTCATCATTGACTGTTTGAAATCAGCAAACATAGTACTATCATTACCAGTGTAAATTAAATCGTCCACATATAAGCATACCATTATCAACTCACCAGCAGATCCAGATTTAATAAATAATGTGGGCTCATATGGACATTGTTGAAAGCCTGACCTTGAAAAATATGCAACTATGCGACTGTACCAAGCTCGAGGAGCTTGTTTTAGTCCATATAGCGCCTTCCTTAATTTGCATACCATTATCAACTCACCAGCAGATCCAGATTTAATAAATAATGTAGGCTTATATAGACATTGTTGAAAGCCTGACCTTGAAAAATATGCAACTATGCAACTGTACCAAGCTCGAGGAGCTTGTTTTAGTCCATATAGCGCCTTCCTTAATTTGTACACTTTCTTCACATTCCTTTGTTGCTCATACCCCGGGAGTTGATCAACATATACTTGTTCTTGCAAATCGCCATGTAGGAATGCAGATTTTACATCCAACTGGAACATGGGCCATGAGTTCTGTGCTGCCAATGCAAGTACCAATCGAATGGGATCAAGTCTTGCAACTGGAGCAAAAACCTCTTTGTAGTCGATGCCAAATTCTTGCTTATATCCTTTTGCAACTAGGCGAGCTTTGTACTTGTCAACTTTTCCTTCCCCATTCAGCTTTGTTTTGTAAATTCACTTGACCCCAATTGACTTTTGCCCTTTGGGAAGATCTGTCAATTCCCAAGTGTTATTTCTCTCAATGGATGCAATCTCCTCATCCATTGCCTTCTGCCATTTTGGGTCTTTGACAGCATCTTGGAATGTAATGGGATCACAATCTGAAAATAGAGCATAATGGGTAATGGGGTCATCAAATTGATTAATCCCAGTTACCTCATAATCTTGCATCCATGCTGGTAAACTCTTGGAACGCTGAGGTCGTGACTGGTGTGACAATGTAGGTTGATTTCCTCCGAATGAAGATGCTGATAAATGAGGCGAAGTTGGAATTTGTTGTTGTTCTGTAGGAGAGGATTGTTGTTCTGAAGGAGAGGACTGACTTTCTTCATTCTCAACATCAAAATTGACTGGAATGGACTGCCCTGAAGTATTAACAGCCCATGTCCATGTTCTTTCTTCATCAAATACAACATCTCTGCTGATGACGATCTTCTTGCTGATGGGATTGTATAATTTATAGGCCTTTGAATGTTCGCTAACACCGAGAAAGATACATTTTTCTCCTTTGTCATCGAGTTTCTTCCTCTTTTCATCTGGAATATGAGTATACGCTATGCACCCAAAAATTCTAAAGTAGTCGATGGCTGGTGTGCGTCCAGCCCATGCTTCTTCAGGTGTCATGTTTTGGACAGCTAATGTGGGACTCCTATTCAATATATGAATACTCCAATTCACTCAACATAGTGATCATTTCCCGAAAGGGAAAGCATGGAGAGCAAACAGGACTTTGGAGCTGGTCCATTCAGATATTTGTGGGCCTATAAATCCAACATCTAATGGTAACAAGAGGTATTTTATTACGTTCATTGACAATTATAGTCGCAAAACATGGGTTTATTTTTTAAAGGATAAATCTGAAGTTTTTTCATTATTCAAAAATTATAAAGCTCTTGTTGAGAAAGAAGTTGGGAGAGCTATCAAAACTTTTCGAACTGATCGTGGTGGAGAATACACCTCACGAGAATTTGTAAATTTCTATGAGATGTATGGCATTAAAAGGCAACTTACAGCAGCCTACACACCACAGCAGAATGGCGTGTCCGAGAGGAAAAAACGTACAATCTTAAACATGGTGCGGAGCATGTTGACTAAGAGAAGTGTCCCAAAACAACACATTCTTCACAAACTTGTGAAGGAATATCAATCTGTGGAAGGCCCGTCACCATATTTTTCTGATATAAAGTCTTCAATCCAGTGAAGTTCAGATGCCCATAGCGAAAATGCCATAGCCATGCTGAATCTTTCACCTTAACAGAGAAACAAGAATGAAAAGCATTCTGGATATATATCGGAAACATCCGATTTGCCATCATGTTGACCTGAGCAATTAGACCCTTATTTGGATCTTGAATTCGACACATTCCTACTTTAATGACGATCTCATATCCCTTCTCTTGTAGCTGCCCCACACTAAGCAAATTGCTCTTCAAATCTGGAACATAGAAAACACTAGAAATTGTCTGAAAAATGTTTTCTTTGGTCCGGATTTTGACATTACCTTTTCCCATGACAGAGACTTTTGAGTTATCTCCAAATTTCACCGTATCTCAAAAGGATTCATCCAAATCAGAAAATACTGACTTGTCGCCACACATATGATTACTAGAACCTGTGTCTAAATACCACAAGTTATGGTGTGTTTCTTCCATGGTATGACACGCCATCAGAAGAGTGACTTCATCTTCCTTCTCTACAAAAATTGATTTTTCACCAATTTCTTTTTGTAATTTTGTCCGACATTCATTACCATAATGGCCATACCTATGACATCTGTAGCACTCGACATTTGATTTGTCAAATGGCTTTGATTCTTGATCAAGTGATTGCTGATTATCACGCCCTCTACCTCTGCTTCGGGAATCAAAAACATGGTGATCTTCTGATTTGTAATGTGTGAGTCTGCCTTCTCTGCTACCTCTACCTCTTCCTCGTCCTCGGCCTCTTCCTCTGGATGTTGAAGAGTGATTGTTAGTTGTGACCTGCAATGTTTGCTCCTCTTTGACATCATGATTGATTCTTTGCTCATGAACCAACAGTGAACTCTGCAGTTCATCAATTGAAAGTACATCAATATCATTCGATTCCTCAATTGAACAAACGACATAATTGAATTTTGAGTTCATCGATCGAAGAATTTTTTCAATTATTGTAACATCTTCCATCTTTTCACCATAGATACGCATCTTGTTTGCAATCGCCGTCGTTCTTGAGAAATAGTCAGAAACGGACTCTCCCGGCTTCATATGAAGTGTTTCAAAGTCAGTGCGAAGTGCTTGAAGGTGTGCACGTTTCACCCTTGCATTGCCTTGATGCTTCTTTTTCATCGAATCCCAAATTTGCTTGGAAGTATCTTTCGAGAGAATAGTTTCCAGGATCGAACGATCAATTGCTTGGAATAGCTAATTCTTCACTTTAAGATCCTTCACTTTTTGTTTTTCCAGCTTCATTTTCTGTGCTTCCGTCAACGCCGCTCCACTCAACGATTCAGCAACACCAATTTCCATAAGATGCCAATATTCTTTGGATCTCAGGAAATTCTCCATCAACATACTCCAATGGTCATAGTGACCATCAAAGCGAGATATAGCTGGTTGCACGAAATTTTCAGATGCCATTAGTGATTGCTGCTGCAACACAAGAGTGAGTAGAGAGAGGCTGCTGCTCTACTAAGACCCACTACACTCTTTTGAACTTATGGCTCTGATACCACAATGTAGAACTGAGAAGAGAAATATCAAAGAGGATAAAGAACGAAAATTGCTTCATCTTCTTTTTGCATTCACCTAATTAAATAGAGGTGTAAAATAACAAACTGAACACAAAATATGGAAGTGGTTTCGCATATCTGTAACAGACTTGCATCACGATACTCCTAAAGACTAGATAAACCAACAAACTCCTAAAGACTAGGACTAATGGAGATTTATTCAAAATTAAACTCTTAACATTGGGACGGTCAAAAATTGCCACAACAAACCACCACCGGAAGCCCACAAATAAATTTTTTTTTTTTTTTGAAGTACGAGACACTATAAAATTATTTATTAAGGTTCGCCCATGATTTGGACATATAATATATTTTTATTATTTTGTAACTATGTAAGATAGATATTATATTAATATTATATTATTGAGAAGTGTTAATTACAGTCGCACATGTTAGTCTCTTTGAACATTTATTTCATTTGTTAATTGTCTTTTAGTTATATACGAACTGTGTATATAATTACTATATATATATCGTAATTATACATATATATATATATATAAAGCGGCTGTTATGCAGGGAGAGAGAGAAATTGAGTATCTATATATATACAGAGAGAGAAATTGAGTATCTATATATATACAAACAGCCGCTTTATATATATATATATATATATATATATATATATATATATTGACACACACACACATTTCATTCAAGTGAGGAGAGAGAAGAAATAATTAAAAGGGCACTTTTGTCCTATAAATTTAATTATAAATGTCTCATAACGGTGGAAGACATTTAATTACTTAGCGTGTAATTTTAGGAATCCTGACTAATTAGGGTGCAATTGTGCAAGACAATATTATTTTGTCAACTTATAAATTACTTTTTTGGTAATTAATTATTGGGGAATTGTTCCTTACTTTGATACAAATAGCAAATTAGAGTTACAATTGAAACGCTATTAATTATTGGGGAATTGTTCCTTATTTTGGTAAAAAGAGCAAATTAGAGTCGCTTTCGCTATTGTCCGGATGCACAGTTTTGCACGTTGTTCGTTCCGTTCCTCATAAAGGATTTCGATGTTTGGCTTGATCTCTATGATGTTTGCTCTCATAGATTGCATTCACATTTATATCATGGATCGATGTATTTACATTTAACTATTTATTTATACATTATAGACATGTGAAAATAATGAAGTTCAATTTCTTGGAATTATAATTTGTGTTTAATGTACCACAAATATTATAGCATGTTTACTTGTGGTATGAGAGCTTATTGTCACGCCCCGCCTATGGAGGTTGTGCCACGCAGGCGACACGCAGACGCTGAGGAGGACGCTGCATGACAACTGCATGGCAAGTGGAGTTTCTAGAGTCTTTCGGAGTAGTCTAGAGTTGTGTGGAAGATTCTAGATATGTGTAGTATATTCTAAAAGTGTGTGGAAGGTTCTAGAATTCTCCAGAATTGTGTGGAGTAGTATGGAGGGTTCTAGAATGTTGTAGATATGTATGGAGATGTGTAGAAGGTGGAAGAAGATTCTAGATAATTAATCTCCACCGTTGGTTAGAATGCATCCTAGCCATCCATTAGGGATGGGGATGCCTATAAATAGGAGTAGGACTTCATTTTGCAAACAACAAGTCCTAGAGTGAGTCTTGAGAGCCTTGTAGAGAGCTTGAGTGCTAGCCTTGTACAAAGCATTCTTTGAAGTAATAGAAGTGTTCTTTCCTTGCCAACTTAAGTGCCTTAGTGTGTGTGAGTGTGCAAGCCAAGTGAGGAGAGGGCGAGGGCAACTACAACACTAGTAAGTGCACGAGGGGAGTGTGTTGGCTAAGGTGTGCACGGGAGTTAGGCTGACCAAGTACTTGCGAGAGTGAAAGCAACGTCTTGGTGCCGCACGGGAGCAGCTAGAGTGGTGCTGAAACTCTAAGCCCGTGACAGTTGGTATCAGAGCCAGGTTCGTCAAGGGAGCTTTGTTGGAGTAGACATGGCTAGCGGAGGAGACCACCAAGTCCACGTCTTGGAGCAGAGCTTGGAAGAGAAGCTTGCCACGCACTTGGTCTACACGGAGACCAAGTTTAACAGGCTCGAGAGAAAGATGGCAGAACTCTACGAGCTGATTGACGGCATTGCCAACAAGGCGCGAGAGAAGGAAAGGGACTTGTATGATCAGGTAGACGACTTGCGCGTGGAGATTGCCGAGTGCAAGAAGGAGTTCTCTCAGGCGCGCGAGGTCGTGGTGAAGCCAAGGAAGAAGAAGGCGCCAGAGCCCAAGGAGTACGATGGGGCAAGGAATGCGCGCCAGATTGACAACTTCTTCTGGCACATGGAGCGGTACTTCGAGTGCATGGAGATTGAGGATGATGAGGAGAAGGTGCAGACAGGCACCATGTACCTCACGGACACTGCCGCTTTATGGTGGAGGCAGCGCTTCACCGGTAGAGGCGCAAGAGCAGTTGACACATGGGAGGAGTTCAAGAGGCAGCTCAAGAGGCAGTTCTATCCCGAGTGTGTTGAGGACCTCGCCATAATCAACCTAAGGCGCCTGAAGCAGAAGGGCAGCATAAGGGAGTATGTGAAGGAGTACTCCAACTTAATGCTGGAGATCCCAGAGATGCCAGAGCGGCAACGCGTGTGCTTGTTTATTGATGGGTTGCAGTCTTGGGTAGCCACAGAGCTAAGAAGGAGGGAGCCTAGAGACTTGGCATCCGCAATGGCTATAGCGGAGCGCCTTGAAGACTTTAGGCGTGATGATAAGAGGGCCACGTCTCCCAAGAGGGACCACGGCAAAGGTGGGGGAGACCAGCGCTTCAAGAAACGGGGCTCGCCCAAGTCTAGTGATGATGAGCACAGCGATGAGGAGAGACGCCCACGCCATGATAAGGGCAAGGACCATGGAGAGAGGTCTAAGGCTAGTGGCAAATGGGAGCGCCGCGATAAGGGTAAGTGGGAGCCGAAGTGCTACTTGTACGAAGGGCCGCACATATTGCGACACTGCCCCAACAAGAAGACCATGAGCGCCCTTGTGAAGGATAAGGGCAAGGGCAAGGTGGATGATACGGGCAGCGATGAAGATAGGTGCATGGGGGCTATGCAGATGCTGAGTAGCATGGCGCATGACACCAAGAAAAAGGGTAAGGCGAAGAAAGTAGCTGGGGTGCGCTATGTGGATGCGCAGGTTGGTGGCAAAGCCGTGCAAGCGTTGGTGGACATGGGCGCCACACACAACTTCATTACCCCAGAGGAGGCGCAACGACTTGGCTTGGAGATGCGCAAGACGGAGGGATGGATCAAGGCCGTCAACTCCGAGGAGGCACGCGTGAGTAGAGTGTGCAAGGAGGTGGAGCTATGCATGCAAGGATGGAAGGGCAAGGCTGACTTCCAAGTTGCGGAGATGGACGACCACGACATGGTGCTGGGGCTGGAGTTCATGGACAGAAACAACGCCGCGCCACTACCATGCCTGGGTGCGTTGATGATACTTGGAGGCGAGGAAGGCAAGGCCGCATGCATGGTGCCGCTCGTAGGCAGGAAGGAGAGTCCAGAGGTGGCAGTCAACACAATGAAGCTCGTGAGGACTTCACATCTCCCAAAGGGCGCTCGTACGTTTGGGCCAATGACATATGTGCAAGTGCTGATGACCTGTGAGAGGCTGGGTCAGCTGAAGAAACCGTGACGAGGGCGTCACGGAAATGGGTGGGGGAGAATGTCACGCCCCGCCTATGGAGGTTGTGCCACGCAGGCGACACGCAGACGCTGAGGAGGACGCTGCATGACAACTGCATGGCAAGTGGAGTTTCTAGAGTCTTTCGGAGTAGTCTAGAGTTGTGTGGAAGATTCTAGATATGTGTAGTATATTCTAAAAGTGTGTGGAAGGTTCTAGAATTCTCCAGAATTGTGTGGAGTAGTATGGAGGGTTCTAGAATGTTGTAGATATGTATGGAGATGTGTAGAAGGTGGAAGAAGATTCTAGATAATTAATCTCCACCGTTGGTTAGAATGCATCCTAGCCATCCATTAGGGATGGGGATGCCTATAAATAGGAGTAGGACTTCATTTTGCAAACAACAAGTCCTAGAGTGAGTCTTGAGAGCCTTGTAGAGAGCTTGAGTGCTAGCCTTGTACAAAGCATTCTTTGAAGTAATAGAAGTGTTCTTTCCTTGCCAACTTAAGTGCCTTAGTGTGTGTGAGTGTGCAAGCCAAGTGAGGAGAGGGCGAGGGCAACTACAACACTAGTAAGTGCACGAGGGGAGTGTGTTGGCTAAGGTGTGCACGGGAGTTAGGCTGACCAAGTACTTGCGAGAGTGAAAGCAACGTCTTGGTGCCGCACGGGAGCAGCTAGAGTGGTGCTGAAACTCTAAGCCCGTGACATTATGGTTTAATGTCATTATTTTCCACTAATGTTGCATAAATAATAATTAATATCATGATTTTCTGAAATGATTTCGAAACAGAAAAATCTACTCAAATCAATCTTCCATATTTGCATCGATTTACAGCCTAGTTTTGACTTATTTGGAGCCTGATTCACAAAATTACTGTTAGACACAATGAAAATATCTTTATATATATATATATATAATAAAACTTTTTTTTTTCCGGACTTTGAGATCTCTCCATCATGTATGTCTCTATGGCTACAAAATAATAATTTATTTACATGTTCAATAAGGTCAAATTTTCAGATTCACATATTATTTTATAAATTCATATTTTTAATAAAATAAATAAATACATGTACTACGAGCAGTAATTTATTTAGAATATTCATGTAAAATCATAGGTTGGACAAAGTCAATCAACCAAGCATCGGTTTTAGTGTTTTGGACATAGCTTTTGACCAGAAACTGGGAATTGCTCAAACTTAGTGGGGAGGGAAAAACCCCCTCCAATAAGAATAGTCCATGTCATCACACTACAAATTTATATTAGATATAACAAGATCCCGATCATTATCAAACCCAAATTGGGAGAACCCAATCCAGAACAAGCCCAGGTAAAGTCTTGCTTCCAAATAGACCGCTGACTTAGGCCATTCGGCCCATTTACTAAGCCTAAATGCATACAATCTCATTCAAACCCATTGAAAGCGTCAACAGCCCGAGGAGCCAAGGTTAAACTCTAAGCCCATTTACCGAATCATTTGGATCAGCCCACACGCAGCCCAATCTCAATTAAAGGTAGACCAGTCCTGCTAGACAAATGATTCAGCAAAGAAAGCAAGTTCTGTGCAAGGAAAGTTTTGCATGGAAAGAATTGTAAAAAGGAAAGAATTATAATTGTAAAGAATGTCATATATGGAATGGGTTGAAGGACAAGCCATGCGAGTCCTACCATAATTCCACCACCTTGTTTCTTATAAATAGAGGCCTAGACCTCCAATAAAATCATCGAGCATTATATGCTTATCTCTGAGTATTATATTAATAGAGAGAAATTTTGCACCTACACTCAGTCACTTTAGAAAGAACACTTAAAACCCATAATTTTTTAGTCTAATAGTAATTTTGTGAATCACATTCCAAATATGTCAAAACTATGTTGCAAGTCGAGATTTGGACTTATTTTTCTTTTCCAATATTATTTTCAAAAATCAATCATGCATATATTTCTTTCCGATATTATTTTCAAAAATCAATCACGCGATGTTAGTGAAAAATAATAAGTTCTTAAACCATATGTTCTGATACTACATGTAAAACTATAATTATTCGTGCAAACGTTAATTACAAATAAAACATGAATCACAGATATTTTAGAACTTCATTATTTTCACATATCCATAATGTATAAATAAATATAAATCATAAATATAAATGCCTCGTTTCATGATAGCAAACCTAGTAAAGATCAAATCAAACGTCGATGCCTTATATTGAACGAATAACGTACTAGGACAATAGGCAAAGCGTAAAAACCGATGTCTCCCTCTTTTCAACTTTTGCACACATAAACTACTTTTGGGATCGTCTAAAATCGCCACCACAAACCATCACCCCCACAAATAAAAACAACTCTTTTTTTTTTTAGGTACAAAACATATCAATGGTAGTGTTTTAAAATCAAAGATTCTTTTTTCTATTTTTTTTTTTTTTTTTTAAATATTATAGTTATAGTTTGTGACCTACTGTAACGGATATGCGCTTACTCATTTATCCAAAAGTTCAAGTTATTAAGTAGTGCTCCATATCTATCCATTTATACTCAATTACTTTCTCATTCAGATTTGATGTAAGACAAATATCCCTTTGTAATACCTAACCTCTACCTTCAAATAACAGAGTTCACACTCAACGTCAATGAGTTAACTCGGTTTATCCATCTATCTACCAACAACTTCACAAAAGAGAAGCATGAATCTTGGGTTTTGGATAGTAGGGGATTTGCTTCATGATAGAAATAGAATCATGATCTCCGTTCTGTCTTTGTTTATTGTATTCTCTTTGGTACTAAAGTTTTTAGTATTTGTGATTTTAAAGTTTTGTTCTTTGATCAAGTTTGATTTTGGAGTTCTAAGAACTTTTTGGAACTAAAATTAAAACTTTACTAACATTTTATTCATCTTAACCAAATTCATATATAATAATTAATAGCAGACCTGAAGATGACAAGTGAATCTATTGTTTTGTCACATTTATTTTTCCTTGAAAAAAAAAATTTTTGTTTTTTATTTTTTAACATTCCAGAATTTGAACAGAACGAAAATAAAAAAGTTTCCAAACAGTAGAATCCCTTCACCATACTTGTAGTTTATTCATTTTTCCTCCTTTTTCTGTCTAACGGAACACCAGAGATCCTACTTCTAACCCACCCAATTGTGCATGATGATTGATTTATATATATACAAAATTACAAATGTCATAGTGGAGAGCCAAAAAAATGTCATTGGCGAGATAATCATAATTAATGTCATTAAAAATATATTTCTTAATATGTATAATCAAATGGACTCTTTCTTGTTATTTTTTCTTGTGCAATAAATGTATACTTATACACAAACATTAGGATTTCAACTTAGGTTGTTGGATGTACAACTTGAAATCTTCAACTTCAACCCAACTCTAGCATGACGTTTAAATGTTTAATCAAAACTATTTAACTCAAACTCAATTTATCTTTTTATTGTTAAACTCAAGTTAGGAACTTGAACTGAGATTTTGGATTAAAAGGTAAGATAATTCAGATTACCCATATAACAAATTTGAAAATTTAATGTGATATTGAATTAATTTCAGATTAAATTATTTCTAAACAAGAAAAAATTTAAAATATTAATATAAATATTTAATAAATTACAATCAGATTCTTTAAAAAATAATTTTTCAAAAAAAAAATGATTATAATTTGAATATTATATATAATATATTTAAAATTATACATATATATATATATATATAAACAATATTAAAATTGGGTTTGAGTCGGCACCAGTTGTTAGCATCTCAATCCAAATCAAACCCCCCTAAGGCAGGTCACAGAGTCTCTGAACTCTGAACCCACTTGCTGCTCAGCCACTGAAGTTTCAGCGATGCCCTCAGTCAAAAGAATCGGTAACACACCATCGGTTGATGTGATCGCCGGCAACGAAGACCTCTTATTCGAAATCCTCGTCCATTTGCCTCCAAAATCCCTCCTAAGATTCCAATGTGTATCCAAACACTGGCTCTCTCTCATCTCCAACCCCCAATTCCGCAGCCACCACTCCCGGCGAAACCCTAACTCCGTCGCCACCGCCCTCTTCTATTACAAAAAATTTCCATTTCCGGAGTTCGGCTTCCTTTCTCTAAAAGCCCTAGAAAACCCAACCAATAACACCCCCTTCCATTTTCTCGATTTCCTCAGCACATTCAACGAAGTTATTTACGCACATTCTTGCAATGGCTTACTGTTTGTCGAAGTAAGCGTTGGTTATCTCAGGAGTCGTTTCGTCTGGAACCCCACAATCAATCAATCTATCAAACTTCCCAATGTAGTTAAACCTATGTATTCTTGTATTGCACCTTTCAATTTAGGTTTTGATCCTTCAAAATCACATCACTACAGAGTTGTTTGCTTTTGGTTCATGGTTTCGTCTAAAAATTATCATTTTTCAACTTACAAATCGTTTTGTAAACCCAGCTGTGGAGGGACTCCGGTGAGTCTCTGACGCACGTAGGTGATAGAGTATCCTATTTTTACAAGAAAGGGGTGTATTGGAATGGTGCGATTCATTGGGTCTCTACATCTCAGCCTTTCTTGTGCTTTGATGTGGATGAAGAGCACTTTAAAGCAATGCCCTCGACTTTGATCCCGAAGGGGAGAAGCGAGAGGAAGATTAAGTATTTCGGGGTGTCTGGAGATCATTTTCATCTGATTGAGATATATGGGCCTCGAAGGACTGTGTTTGATGTGTTGGAGATGGAGGGAGACTACTCGAAATGGGTCGCCAAGTTTCGGGTTGATCTTGATGCATCAATTTCCATTGATAACTCACCAAGACCTGGTGGAAATTTTAGTATACTCTCTCTTTTTCTGGAGGAAAAAGAAGGCCGTATGCTTTGGAAGAAGCTTGTACAGTTTGGGAAGGGGTTTTGATTGATCAAAAAGAAGAATCTACTTCAACTGATATGCCCTTAGGCACGGCCATACATAACATAGAAATCACACTTGAAGGCTTGTGTTATCAATATCTGGTAAGTTTTTCTTGTATGATCTTGGTGACATGAGTTTTAGGGAGCTTCTTGATATAACACCTGTAAATTTTCCTGATCATGAGACACCTGGAATTCTTAGTGCCATAAATTTTTGTTTTCGGTCAGGATACAGATGGCATTGTGTTTGTCAATACATTGAGTCACTCTCTTGTGTTTAGTTACACACTCTGTGTATCTACTTCCGTACTTTTATGCCAAATTACTACTTTCTAGTTTGTAATCAAATTTTTTCTGTTTGTTGTTTGTGTGTTACTGTAAAACTTATGGAGCCCTTCTTGTCCAAAAGTGAAATCTTAAATTACCTTGGACAGAGGTTCCACTATTGTTGGTGTCAATTCCATTTGTGGTTTTCCATTATTGGTTTTCTCTGTTCTAGACTACTTGTCATTGAAGTTTTAAGCAAGTGCTCAACTGTAATGTCATTTGTAATGACTTATTAGTTGAAACTAGGCTTATCTTGATTATTGCTTCAGACTGAGATTTGCTCTACCATTACTAGTTTTAAATTCCATTCGTTTGAGTGGGTCGATTTCAAATGAAGGGAAAGTTCATGTTACAAATATATTGGAGAGTTGGCTATTAGAGTTGGATTGAGAGTTCAGAGGAGGTGGAGGACTAGAGGGGGATCCTTTTTGGCATGGATTAGAAATAATGCCCTTGTTATTTTAAATATGCACATATATACATGTAAATTTCATAAGTTATATCCTTTATATTATCAAACCCAAATCTACTGGTTTCAAACCATCCCATCTTAATGGTGTGTTCTAGTTTCATAAGAACTCGGCGTGCCCGTGTAATGTAGGGGAAGTGAAAATTTTGAAAACAATGTCTCAGCAAATGCAGCATGGAGAAACAAATAGATAAAAACATGAAAATTGTGAGATAGCGAGGGACTACTCGAAATGGTTGACCGAGTATTGGGGTGATCTTTAATTGCTCACTACTGCATTTCCAGATGGTATGTGATGAACTTGATATCCCGGCCTGAAGTGTGATGAATTTAGTGTACTTCCACTTATTGTGGATGAAAAAGAAGTCAAATTAAGGATTGTGTTATCAATTGCAGGTCAAATTATCTTGTTTCGTCTTTGTGACATAACTATCAAAGAGCTTCCTGAAATAACATTGGGTAATCTTCCTTAAATCACACCATTTTCATCAAAATATGGATTGTATTTTGTCAGTCAATACTCAATACATTGAGACACTATATTCTTGTTTAATTGTTAGGTAACTACTTCATTTTCATGCCAAATCACAATGTAATAACCCCCTGTTTGTTTTTCAAAACATATGGAGCCCACATATCCGAATGTGGAATCCTTACCTCGGATAAACATAGTTAATCTCTACTATTGTTGGTCTCTACTCGATTATTGCTTTCCCTGGTGCTAGAATAATCATCCTTGAATTTGTAAGCAGTTGCCTTGTGCGGACATATGGACCATGCATCTTTGGTTGGTGAGGCCAATGGTGTAATGTCTAATTCATTGAAACTGAGGCTTGTCTTGATTCATGCTTCAGACAGAGATTTGTTTTACTGTTGCTGGTTGTAAACTGAGGCTTGGCTATTACAGTTGGATTGAGGGGTTCGAGCAGGAAGATGGAGTAGAGGAACATTGACATAAGGGAGATATATTTGGTTGGGATTTAGGAATTAGGATCCATGTGTAGTTTCGAATCCTTTTCGGCATAGAGTACAAATAATGCCCTTCACATTTCTTTTTCAAATTTGCACATATAGGTCTAGGAGGATATGAGTTTGGCACCGGACAAGTGATGTTATTTCACAAGTAGAAATGTGATGTAGAAATGTGGAGTGCGAAAATCATTTTCTATTACTATCTTATTACTAAAAGCACAACATAGATACAAAAAAGTTGTGTGTTTTATCGACTTTGTTATAGATAATGGCAGATAGGTACTTAACAATGTATCATTGAGGTAGACCAGGTCTGGGTGGGCTTCAATTTCTGAAACCATCCCAACCCGAGAATTGATCAGGCAATGATGATAGCTTCGCCCAGCCTGTAGATCAGAAAAATATGACATTTCACGGACCACTCGAATGCTTGGTTTAGTATAAAAAGGGAAATCAAGGCTTATGGAGGTATCTTCCAGCAAGCAAAGCAGCATCCATGACATATATGATGAGTTTAGTGACCTCTTCAACTGAGCATTTGTTCCCTTCAAATGTTGGGCCTTTTTCTTTCTCCGTCTTAGCTACACACTTTAGGAAGTTCAGGCTGCACTCTTGGCTTAGATACTCCTCTGCACCACCATCACCACCACTTAATATATATATATATATATATATATATATATATATATAATATGAATTACATTCTTTACAAGTAGTAAGTACACAGGTGCACACACATACCTATGTCTTTTGTTCAACTAAAGTAATTGTCTATTATCAATTTATTGTTTAGTTGGTTTAATTAATTTTTAGATTTTTTGTCCCATGATAGAAGGTTGACTGGTTGAGGTCTGCTTTCAGGCTAACATGTATTTATAGGAATACATATGTTTACAGCAAATGCAGAAATGTCAAGAACACCCTTATCTTGTAAGTTAGCTAAAAAAGATTATATGGACAATGTGGCCTACAGTTTTCCAAATAACACATTTCTAGATCGGAGAGGATCCTTATTCGAATAAATAGGGGTAAATATATTAGAACCTTTTGTCAAGTTGAATAACTTATCCAAACAATTTCCACCACTTATTTTGAGGAAAATCATTATGTTTTTTAAACTAATTCAATTTCTTCATATATTCTTTTTTAACCTAAATGAATAAATAAACAAATAAATATGTATATATTCCTCTTTATAATTGAAATACCCTTCTTTGAGAAGGACCAATTTGCCACCAAGCATGTATATTTCATTAATTTGACTAATTTAATTGGGGAAATTTAGTCATATAATTATGAAGTGTATATAAAAAAAAAAAATAAAAAAATAAAAAAAAAGAGTGAATGTGTAGGACTCACGTTTTTTAATTGCTATGCAGTTATCATGCTCCATACAACAAGCGTCAAGGCCATCACATGGTTTCTCCCCTGCGCACCCGGTATACAAAACTCCACAGTATTTCCCATATCGTAGAAGTGGAGGCACTATATATCATCATTCAATAATCAAATAACAATTTTTTATTTTTTCTCACAAAAATAAAAATTACTATAATTAACTCATTAATTATAATTCAATCAAGTGCCCCAAAAAAAAAAAAAAAAAAAAATTACCTGTGCAAAATTCTGATAAACATGTTTTACTGCAATTATTAACCTAAAAAAGTAAATAACGAGAAAGAAAGAAAAAAATTATTCATTGGAAAAAGAAAAAGGAAATAAAAAAAAATGGCGGGATGAAGAATGACGGTGAAAATCTAACCAGAGGGAAGCTGACGTGAGCTTGAAAGCCCTGGGGTTCGTGGGCATGAACACAAATAGGAGAAAAGTTGAAGACAATGAAAAGAAATGAGAGAAGAATTAATTTCAATGAAGCCATTAATCTTCTGTGAAGGCGCAAAGAGAGAGGGAGAAGACAATCCCTCAGTCCTCTTCTGGGCTTCAATTACATATTTCAATTTTCTTCAACTATTCCTCCTCCCTGTGCATATGCATCAGAGCCTTCAAGCAAAACCAGGCTTCTCCATTTTTCAGCGTACATATACACCTATATGTACTATATATAGTTATATAAATCCTATATATGAAACTATATATATATAAGGTATGTGCTATATTTACAAAAGCCAACGGTTTCCAAGAGGATTAGCACAAGATAATTACAATGAAAATCATAAATCCCATTAATAGTTGCTTTCTTCAAGTATGTTTTTTCTCGGATGATATAATAGAGATGATTTATTGCTTGTTTTGTGATAACATTTCTTAGTTTATTCTAGACGAAAAATTTGTGATAACTTTTTCATGATTTGGATAATATTATGGTTTTGTGAAAAGTGCTACCACTCCAAATAATAATAATAAAATAAAAATATACTTTATATATATATATATATATATATATATATATATTCTGAAGGGTCACCCACGGCTTAAAACAAGTTGTTATTCTATTTTACACTCCTAAATTTATATATTTTTACATTTATATTCATAAAATTTTAAAATTATCCTACTAAAATTATAAAAAAAAAATTCCCTCTAGATAAATTTGTCTCTTCTAATATAAATTTTTAGATCCATCCCCGACTCAAAGGACACTTTCATTGGAAATTTGCTCGGGGGATGTATACACATGCATGTTGCAGCTGATGTGAATATAAAATCCAATACAAGTTTCATTTGCCATACATACATATATATATATATATATATATATATATATATATATATATGTATGGTGGAGGAATTAAAGTAATGATTGGTTTATTAAAAAGAAAAAGAATTGAACAAAAATAGAGAGGAATTCCACTTTTTTTTTTTTTTCTTTTTCCCCTTAATTTTGTGCATGAAAGGAAACAAGAATAAAAGAGTAATAAATCAAGGTTTGTGAAGATATCTTCCAGCCAGCAAAGCAGCATCCATAACAACTGTGATAACATCAATAACATCATCAACTGAGCATTTGTTCCCCTTAAATGACTGCCCTCCTGCACTCTTGAAATTGCTTGTGCAGTTTATTAATTTCTGGCTGCACTCTTGGCTTAAATAGTCATCTGCATCCATCACAACCACACCATTTAATTTATATTACTTCAATATAGCTTATATATATATATATATATATATATATATATACACACCCTCCACTCCACTAAATCAATAATTGCTGTTCAAATATATAACAATAATTTTTCCTAACTTGCATCACATGACCATGATATACATCTTTCCTCACAAGAGAAAGGTCACTGTCCTCATTAATTGTAGTAGGGACATTTGACTACCACAACCTTTAACTAATATTAAATATAGTTTCTTCTTTCTTACTTTCTTTTTTTTTTCTTTCTTTTAATTTTTTTTCAAAGTAAATTTTACGTTTCACATCTTCCGTATCATAAAAATTACATTTTTTTGTCTGAAACTTAACTTTTTAAGAATATGATGTTTAGTTTTATACTACTTCCATTCTATATTAGATATCTACCTCAAAAATTTTGACTCATTATGTGAATTAAAGTTTTCAAAATGAATATTTAATTTAATACACAGATAATATATAAGTATATAAAAAGAATACGATTAAAACTGACTTCAAACCTCAAATGACTCGAAAATAAAAGATGATAGTAAATTAAAATTTTCGACGTGGACAACTAATATAAGATAAAGGAATTATTATTATAATGGTAAGATTTACATAAAGTCTTATTTTAAATTTTAATTATTTTTATAATTTCAAGACAAGAAAAATAAATTAGGAATATTAAAAAATTAATACATTAAATTTTGAGTTGAAAAAAATGATTTTAGGACACGGTTTTGCGAAAAGGAGAGAAAATCATTTTTTCTGTTTTCTTCCTGATGCTTTTCTATTGTATGATTGTATCTATAAGACTATAGAATATAAAAGAATAAAAAAAAAAAAAAGAAGCTACCTTTACCTTTTATCACTTTTTGTCTACCCTCACTGAATGTTTTTTCATTTTGATAATTGAAATGATGATGCCCTTGTAAGGAGGGACCAGATTGCCCGGCCATCAAGCGTATAATAATTTGACTAGGGCAATTTTGTCATTTACTTACAATTGTTGCCCTATCACCTAATGCTCTATAAAATAATTACTCTGTATGTATTAAATATATTCATGATGTAGACTTGCACATAGATTTATTAAGAAGTCAATTGTTATTAGAAGTGTAAAATGTTTATTGCCAGCTGGAAAAAAAAAAGAAAAAGAGAAAAGAAAAAAAAAAACGAATGAATCTGTAACAGTAGTAGTCATAAATGAACTCACTGTTTTTAGCCTGTATGCAGGCATCATGCTTCATACAACAAGCATCAAGGCCATCACAAGGTTTCTCTCCCGGACATCCGCTATACAGAAGCCCACAGTACTTCCCATATCGTAGAAATGGAGGCACTATATATACATACATACATACATATATTAATATATATATATATATATATATTATTCAAAAATGAAAATCTATTTTCAGTAAATATCATAAAAATAAATTGACACATTAGCTAGCTACAATTATTCAAACACATAAAAGCTGTACCTTTACAGAATTCTGATTCACATTTTCTACTGCATTCTTTACTCTACAAAAATGAATAAAGAAATTAGAAATAATAATTTGTTGAAAAAAAGGAAGAAGAAAAAGGGGAAATCAAGAATGATAATGAAGAACTAACCAGAGAGAGGTTGGCATCTGCGTGAAGGCCAACGTAAAGGGCATGAGTGGAAATTGAAGAGAAGTAGAGGACAAAGAGGGAAAATGAGGGGAGAGCTAACTTCAATGAAGCCATTGATGGAAAAGAGAGAAACGCAGAAAGAGAAAGCACTGAAATGTGAAGAATTAAGCTTGGGTTTGCTTGCAGGGCTCTGATTTATAGGAAAGAATGGTTGGATACAAGAGGGAGAGGTGTGTGTGTGACTCTGTGTGAACCACTGTGGGAGGGACTCACTCCCCGTGGTTGGCTTTTGTCTTGTAACGTCTCGTGACCTGTTTTTGTAACGTTGTGTGCTTCACACTTCTCTTACTCTAGTACAAAAGAAATATATATATATATATATATATAGGAGTATATAATTAACATGTGACCTGTTGGTATTGGGTTCCTTTTGGTGATTTAGGACTTTGAACCAACTCATTTAAATTGAAATTGAGTCCCAATGTGGTGACAGATAACTAGACGAGCTTGTTTAGGTTTATATAAATGCTACTAAAGGTTGTCTAGTAACATGAAAACATATGAAACTAGTAATCTTATGATGATGTCAATTTATAACTTCTTAAGAGATTATAAATGTTAAAATGCGTGTCTAATCTGTTTGAAAGACGATAGTAAAAGAATTTTATATTTTACTTTATGCAAGTATAAAATCTTCTATTAAGAAGACTCCAAATCGAACATATTTTTCATATTTTATTAGGATAATTTTCGTGATAAAAAATATGGGCTGAACTTGAAATTTATGTTATCATGACAAGTTGCTAAGATTAAGATATACGGTTTTATTTTTAATTTTAAATTATTTTTCAAGTTAAAAACATTTTGAATATTTTTGACTGAAATTAAAACTTTGAAATTGAAATTGAAAAAAAAAAAAAAAAAAAAAAAAAAAAAAAAAACTTATAATATTAAATCAATTTTTATTTTTATTTTTATTAATTTTTTTGTGTCCATTCTACTGATTCCAAAACTACCCTCATCAATTGCAACTAAAAGACGGCCTACAAATAGGAAGGGAAAAGCTTGAAGATATTTTCAAGCATATGTCGTCTACCCTCAAATCAAATTCTTTGGCAAAAACTGAACCCTTCAAGATATTTTGGCTTTGGTGTTAATAAAAATATTAAAAAAAGATATTTTGAGCATCTTGTCTCCATCAAACTGTCACCTACTACCATATTACTAATGTCCTAAAAAGTAAAAACCCTGAACTCATAGGGCATTATTACAATAAGTTCTAAATTATGCTCCTTTCATGCCTTCTTTCTTTATCGACTTAATTTATGGAAAACAATAATAATGACAAGATAAAGTGAAATCTCTCATCACACAATAAATTAGGCACGAATTAGAATCATACAAATCATGTGGTAGTTATCATTCCTTTTCAAACTACATCACCATTCGAACTCTAATTTGCTTCTCTGACGATGATATTTGGAACCTCCTCTTCTTTTTCTTTATTTTTAGGTGGTCTTTATGGTACTCACTCCAACAAAGAGTATGCGAGGCATAATCTAAATTATATTATTTTTCTAAATGAGTATCACTTTCTAAATTATATTATTCTTCTAAATGAGTATCACTTTCACGTTCAGCGTGTGTTTCTATTTTTGCGTTTTGTGCGTTCTTTTTCTCTCAGTTCCTTTTGTATGATTTCAATTTTGTCGATTTCATACTCCCGCTCCTACACACGGCGTGACATAGGACCTAACAAAGGAAGAAAGTGGGGTTTTAATTTCTCTCCCACTGTATTTTTTACTTCAACATACTTTAAATTAATTTTGACTGGTATCACTAGGATGCTTTTCTGATAGCATTAATGTATACCTAAATTGAGAGAGACGACATTACTTTATGGTACACAGACTATACATTCGTGGTAGAGGTAAATCTCGATGATGATGATCATATCCTAAATTTGAAAAACTATTCAATGTGACATCCATGTGCGGGTGTCATGTAGGGTACACAAATGAATCACGATTTGGATATCATTGTCAAGCATAACATTGTGTTGTTATCACAGATGTACTGAAAATTTCCAATTTTCCATCACAAAGAGTAAATAATAAAAATTAATAATTAATTTCTAACTCTGGTTTATTTAATTATTTTGGGTAAATTAATTATTTCTATGATTTATCATGGACATCTTGCTGAATACCCTGGACCCCCATAGAAGAAACTGATGCCAAAACCAGTGTTGTTCATGAACTGTAAATCATAGCACTGAGGATTGGACACATACTGAATTAAATCTACCGGATCTCTGAGTGTGTTTGAGCTGTCTATGAATTTAACATTGCGAAAATAACTTGATCTTTCGTAACCTTGAGACGAAAATCGGCCACTTCCCATTTCAGTTGTTGTGTGATGCCCTGCAGATTTTCGATTGATGATCTCCCCACCCCAAGTTAGCCTCGAAGCACCGTCCGCGAAACCTTTGAAGAGGGAGGCAGGCCAGTATCCGACTACTAGGTTTTGCACCATCAGCCACCAATTCCCAGTCTTCTTGTCCTGAAAAATATTTCATTTTTGCAAAATTATACAATAAATTCATGTTACATTTTTATTTGGTAAAATATTAATTCGTGTTACGTGAGGAAGATATCAAACATGTATATATATATATATATATATATATACCTTGTACACAGTTATGGTTATGTCGAATGGCATTCCTCCGTATATGGAGGTACCTGGTATGGCAGAACCGATGGCGAAATTTCGACTTGTTTGCACAAAACCAGGGCAATCAAGATCATAGCAACCTGTGCTTTTGTAGTTGTCTCCCTGATTAATTGCGACAAATAAAAATATATATATGTTCTAAATCAAAACATATATGAAATATGTACCAACACTTTCAAAAAAGAAAATACATTGCAACACACATTTAACACAAGTATATGAAATACACATTGCAACACAAGACTCACAAGTATATAGGAATTAAACTTACTGTCCAATATATGAAGAACCTTGTCATATTATCGTGATATCTCCGAGGATTAACCTAAAAAAAAAAACTATGATCAATATTTTGATTATACTACTTTAATATTAGTCTCTCTTTCTATAGATCATTGATCAAATATGAGTGTCCTTGTGCTAGACTTACAGTCCATCCAGCTTCAATAGTGTTCGATCCTTGTTGACTTTGTGATCCAACCCAAATTTGAGAGAGGCTAAATTCAGTCAACTCTGTTTTAGGGTTCCACACACTAACTGAAGCTTGCCCCCCATAGCAATTTTCATCGAGTACTGCGTCGGCAACGGCATACTAATTCATGTACAAAAATCACAAAAATATTTCAGTGACTTTTTTTTTATCTTTGTATGTATTTCAAAATGAAAAGGGATACTATTGTGGGCGTGTTCGTATTTGTTTGAGCTTTTGAAAGAAAGAAATGTGTATATAAAAGTACATGAGAAATGTAAAAAATTATGAATTATGTAAGAGTTCGGAGAATTTAACAAAAGTACCGTGCGTACCTCATGTGTGAAGTTACCTGCTCCAACAAGCTTGTTGTGAAAGAGTGATGGATTGTTTGGATGATAATTATAATGTTTTGGAGTTCGTCTAATGGGGATTGTTCCTTGTGGGCATTGTTCATTCTTATGCCAAAGTTGAATAAGCTCTGGTTGTGAGCTTTCTGGTCTCATTCCACTTGGATAAGAGCTAGGCTTCATCTATTGATCAATAACCAACATATATATATATATATATATGAGCATTTTCATCCTTTAGATATTCAATCCAAGTGTATTAAGCTATTAACCAAGTGGTTAAACACTATAAAAAATCTATGTAAATTAAAATTGGGAGATTCTAATCCAATAAGTTTCTTTTCAGGTCATATGGTTTAATCACGAAAGTAACATCTGTCATAAAATGAGATAGAGAGGAATCCATGTGAGTCCCTCTCTATTGCATTCCACGGCTGGGATGCAATTGGCCAAGCATTTCGGCTGAAATACTGAGCCTAACACTTTTTAACTTTTTTATTACTAGTTGTATTTTCGTCATGAAAATAAAGAAACTAATTTACATGTAAAAATATATTTAAACTAATTATGTTTAAATAGTTTTCCAATTTAAAATTTTGAGTCAAAACTAATATTTGCAGTGGTCTTCTTATAAAAAAAAAAAAAAAAAAAAAAAGATTTTGTTTTTTCAGAAGAAGACGTAATCCAAAAATAATATGCAGGAATAGGGGCACATTTTATGGGACCTATCACTATTAAAAAATAAATAAATTGAAATTTATTTGGTAGTTGAAAATGGATTGAGTGAACAACGAAAGTAAAACAAGCAGTTCTAGCATTTATAAATGAAAAACATTCCAAATGAACCAAAAAAAATCTAAAATGCAGATAGGCAAATTACAAGTTAAACCTGTATACTATCAACAAGGGGATGATGCAGTGTAGGTTGTCTATAAATATCGACACAATCGATCATATCCCCATTTTCGGTCTGCATAGAAAAATAAGAAGGTATATTTAGTAAAAGATTCAATGGACACAGAAAAAACACATATGTAGAGATTTATATGTACATATATGACCTCTATGGTTTTAACTGTTCCATTATGCTCCAAATCCAAGAAATTTAGAGCCATTACATGTCTACCTTGGGTGAGCATGTGAGACTGTATGCATAAAATGGCTACCAACGCAAATATGCTGTTCACAACTACAATTTTAGGGTTCTTATTAGCCATTAATGTTCAATCTTGCACAACAACTATGCCTATATTCTCTCTTATCAATCACTATATATAATATGCAGAGTTTAGAATGGACAATAAATGTATTAATTGACAATACTTAGGTGATACTTGTTTCCTACCCGTTGGTGTGAACCAATAATAAAAGAACATGTCTTCTTTCATTAATTATAGATGGTGCATGTACCCATGAATTTGAATATGTACACCATCATTCCTAATTTGGTAATTAAATAAGATCTATTCATTTATTATTGGTCCACATTAGCGGTGATGAAAGCGTACATTCTCACTAGTGATGTGTTAGGGAGCCATGGCCCTCCAAAGCTTTTATAATGCCCCTAAAAAAATTAGTTAATTCACAAATAAACTTCACTTATGATCCTAAAATTCATTAAAAATTTTAATTCTTCCCCCAATAAATTTTTTAAAAATACATATATTGGCCCAAAATAGAGAGTTTGAAAATAAAATTTTAAAAATTTAAACCATTTTAACCATACTCGAAAGAACAAATCTTGTGAAATAAAATTTAAGTTTATTCGTATGGTAGTCCTTATCTAGAAACATATACTAATACTTTTAATTGTCACTTGCTAAATGACAATTTATGCATGTACTTCTTGTATAAGATACGTGTACTAAATTAATAATTTTGTTTTCTTAAAACCTATGAAATTTGTTTAATTAAAATTATTTTGTATCTTAATCTTTCATCAAAGTAATAATGATATATATTTTTCAATGCAAAATCAGAGTACTCAAAATGTTTTTTCAAAATTTAAGTTTTTGAAAAAATAAAACAATTCCTGAAGAAAATTTGATTTAGGTTTTTTTTTTTTTTTTTTTTAATTTTTGGATCTTTTAAGGTATATGTGACTATATATTATAAATACAATTATATTACAATTGGTTTTAAAAAAAAGTTCAAATTTTAATTATATAATACAAGTTCAGCCCCCAAAGTAAAATTCCTGGCTCCACCGCTGCTTCGTTTTTTTTTTTTGAAGACAAGAATGTCATATTTGAAGTTAGATATGCTAAGGCTCGAAGTCGAGTTCCCAAAGATATCGGAGAGCAACTCAACCACTGAGCTACGAAGGTGTTGGATCTCTATCCTACTCTTCTCCCTTTCTATATTGAATACAACTTTTAAATCTTTTTAACTAACTAACTAACTAACTCTCCCTCACTCTTTCTCTCCTCAATTAAGTGCCTAAATTAAATCTGATATGTGATCTCCCTCTTATATAGCTTCCATTAAATTCATATTCTACTTTTTTACTTACAACACTAAGCTTGTTAATTAGTTAATCCTACTACTAATTAACATAGATAATATTAATACTGTGACAAAAATTGAAGCAAAATATTCACTTCTTGAGTCCACATATATTATTTATTCAAATGGATCCTGGAGGTATGTAGACTAGTATATCATTTCATTAATTAATTAAACAACATTTGTGATTATTTATCATTGATTGTAAACAACCAAAACCTTGCTAGCGGTATTTTCTCACCTCCTCACATGTACAATGTGAGTGTGAGTTTTTTTACCTGAATAAATATGTACAGAGAGAGAGAGCCAAACAGAATAGAAGTACGGTTTATCCTTTCATTTATACCATAATATATATATATATATTAGTTTGAGAGATTGATAATCAAACTTTATGGTACACATAGCAAACTTTATGTATATTACACTCAATAATTTCTCCATCCATATGCTTCAAACTTGGAACACTATTTTCATAGACTAACCTCTCTAAACCCTAACCACCACGTACTATATATCCCATTCCCCATTCCAAGAAATTAAGAAAAAGTAGAAGAAAAATACAATATGGTACGTACACAAAGGCCTACAACTTAGTACTTGCATGCACCTGTACAACACATTAATTAATACTTTTGTTAGGATAAAATCCAAGCTCTGCCACCATTCATGTTGAATTTCTTCAGCCGTCCAAAGAACATGACCAAGATGAGGATCAGTTTTCCCTTGTTACTCCATTTTCCGACGAGTCCAAACCATGCATCTTTGCAATAGTTGTCTGGTTTGAGTTGCCGTTTACAGCTGTAGCCGGTCGAGAACCCAACATTTCCATATGCACTACAAAATCATCATACAAGCTTGAGTTCAATATTGGTGCCTTGAATTACAGTGTATAATACAGCTAGCATAATCTTGTAATTATATATGTATATATATTTAATAACACAAAATGTAAATTAATCAGCTTCTTAAGAAGTCATTGTTTACTACTGCATATATACTGGTCTTCTAACAAGTTTTGTCAAATACTACCTAGCAGGAAAAAGAAAAAGGACCTTTTCAAATATCATATGCATATAGTCACCGTATGATATTTCTCAATCTACAGTATCAGAATTGCTTTTTTTTTTTTTTTTTTTTTTTTTTTTTTTTTGTTTGCAAATATCATAATTGCATTTTGAAGCATTGCTTCTTATACAACTTTGATACAAGGCTTGTTTGGTTTGGGCTTATGCCATATTCGGATTTATAGAATGGGCAAAACCCAATTAAATGAGGGTTAAGCCATGCTAGGCCTTAATGTGTCCAGATCCACCGGAATAGGCTAAACCCAAATAAATGAGCTTTGGGCCATGCTGGGCCTTAAATGTGTCCAGACCCACTGGAATTTGTTAAACCCAATTAAATGAGCTTTGGGCCATTCTTGGACTTAAATGTGTCCAGACCCACTTTCTTGTGATTTCCGCCGATTTCAGTATAAATTGGACTTTAACCTGCTTAAGTGGTGGGCAATGGCCCATATAAACAGGGACTGAGTCATGCTGGCCTTCTAAAACGGGTTACACCCATTAGAGTGTGAATTGGGCCATGCTTAGCCTGCACAATTCAATACAAGTTTTTTACTTTTTTTTGGGGATGGCAATTTGACTCGCCCCGCCCCGTCCCGCCTGGCCCTGTTTTTGACAATTTTGGGAGACCATTTTACTTATTTGAGCGGGAATGATTTGAAATAATAAAAACCCAATCGGGTTTGGTGCGGGGGCGGGGGGAGGTCTCCCCACACCGCGTCGCCCGTTTAGATAGATAAACTACATAAGTACCCTTATTTCATTAGTATATATATTTACCACTATATATTAAGTATCCCATACAACAGTATTAAAATAACCAATGAATTTGATTAAAAGGAAAGTTGCAATGGTGAAGAATTGAAGATGAAAAAAAAAAAAAAAAAGAGTAAATCTATTTCAACAATAAATAAATTATGATTTTAAACGGGGCAGGGCGGGTATTCGCGGGATAGAAATGTTAAACGGTTACGGGGATGGGGTGAAAAATTCCCCCGTTTTGCGGTTTTGGGAGGAGACGAGACCGGGATTTTTAAACGGTTGCGGGAAAAAGAAGGGTACACTTATCCAAACCCACCCCCGTTGCCATCCCTACCTCTTTTTTTTTTTTTCTTGATATGATGGCTCCGGGGGCCATTCGGTCACAAGGATTGATAAGGGAGTCTATAAAATCTTCAACACTGCATTAGTTAATCCACAGTATACATCCTTTTCGATGTTATTGCATCACCTAGGAAAAAAAAAAAAAAAAAAAAAAGAAGTTTGGTAGCCTTTTTATATATTATTTGAATGATTTCACTTGTGTATTATATATATTTTTATATATATAATATATATATATATTAATCTCTTGTTCATCCATGAACAAGAAATTTTCTCCGCACCAAACATGGTGACCATTAGATATGATTTAAGTCTAAAAAGTATAATTACCAAAAAATATACAATTATCATATGGGGAGAAAATTTCTTACTTACGAATTAACAAGAAATCATTTATGCTTTTATATATATATATATATATATATATATATAGAAATATGTGTTATTAAGGTGGAAATTAAAAGGAGGCAGATTTGGGAAAAATTAAAATCTCACCTAATGACTTCTATAGTGATGCTCAACAAATTAAAGTTGAGGGGGTCTTCCTTGAGCTTCTCGCTTTCAGTGATACAAATGAGAACGATGAAGATGGCCAAATAAGAGAGTTGTGAGAATAGTAAGTTGTCTACAAGCTTCTTGCTTTGCTTTATGCTGCCTTTTTCATTTCTTTGTTCCTCTTCACCGTCCTTGATTGGTAAAAATGAAGTATACGGTGGAAGATACCTGTCAAATAAATTTTTTTTTTTTTTTTTTCAATTAGTCATTAAATATATTTAATGCAGTTGATTTTATGATTGCTTCATTTCACTGAAAGAGAGTATAGCAAGCTTTCTATCAAAATTAAACAGGATGCAAAACAAGTATATATATTGATCAGTTTAGAAGGACTACAAATTAAGTTATGGATAAGAGTGTAAAATCACAAGTCATGAAGCACCGACACGGTTGTTAGTGGCTATGTATCGGACAGGTATCCGACATGGACACACTTATCCGAAGTTCGGATACGTGTCCGACACTCCTTTCCCTATAACTAGACATTCTTATGATATACGAAAAAACGCTCCAGGAACACGAAAAAAGACCTTTACTATGATTATTCACCAACCGCACTCACCCAACTAATGCCTATCATTAATCTTGCATAAAAAGAATTTTCCTTTTTTATGAGTTGGAGTTATGCTCTTTTCCATTAATTATGCTAATAATATAGTAGGGTATTGAATTATTGATTAAATCAAATCAGAATTGACATATTTGTCTGGCCTAAGAGGTTGTTAGCCTTGGATTAGGCTTTCTATTGGGCTCGTGGAAATTCAATTTCATGAGCCCAATGTCCAATTTTCGCAAACCGCATGAATCAGTGCTGTTGTGAAAAGTGGGCCTGAAATTGCGGCTCGCGGAAGCTATCTCTATTTTTAAAGACCAGACACTTGATCGCGGGCCTGACTGCATGACTTTATTTTTATTTTTATTTTTTGAATTGGTCGTAGTATTGTGACATATTCGTTAGCCAAAGTTAGCCAAAAATTAAAACGCTTCGTTAGCCAAAGTTAGCCAAAAATTAAAACGCGTAATAAATTTGAAGAGTTAAAAATTTGAATATGGCATTAGAGACGTAGGGGTGTGGTAAGTGCCAATTAAGTTTCATGACTTTAAGGGAATCAGTACCAAAAATGGGGTTAAAGGAAGCTGATTCAAAGTCTCACTTCCATCCACTCATGGAGCAACAACTCATACTGCCATTTGTGTTATATCTATGTCTGACATATATATATATATATATATATATACACGTCTGAACTCTGAAATAAAGAGAATATTAAGATCCGCCTTAACCACGTATTGTCATAAAAAGGAAAAATAAATACGAATCAGAGACTCACATTCAAAACTGGTTTCAGAATTTATACTATATGTATTGCCTACTAGCGTTGGAATAATTTGAAACCCTTTGTTGGAAAGATACTTGATTTGGTTATTCATTGAAAGAAAACTAGATTTAGAGACGGGGTTGGTGCATGTGATAAAATCATAAAATAATTAAATATTATGTTTGAAAGCACGGATTTGAATCTTAAATCTTTGTAATTTCTTAAATAAATGAAGGAAGTTGTAATAAGTAACCGGGTAAAGATTTAAAGGTAATTTATTACAACATCTTGCAAAAGAATAAATCTAAAAAAATTTCACGTGACATTATAGAGAACTTGAAGATTCTCATGGTGTTGAATATTATGAATTGACACTATCACATGAAAACATCCCTCTTATGAATTGGGAAATTTTTTTTTTTGGCTAATATAAAATAAATAATTCATTGTTTTCAAACATAAATACCCATAAGGCCATCAGTGTAATTAAAATACATATGATATATATATATATATATATATAACATAGTATTTAGAATAATTTATTAAATTTTAATTTCAAAATACCAATTCATGAACTAACTTTGATGTATTTAATGTGTAAGTATCAATTAAGTTAAAAGTGGAGCATGAGACACTAGCCATAAGGCCAATAAAAAATGAAAATTAATTTGTGAGTGAAGCATGAGTCATTAGCCATAACAAATGAAAATTGATTCATAGTCCAACCGTTAAATTACGAGGGATGTTTCGTTGTCAAGCGAGGGATATGGGTCCCACGATTGCCGTCATGGCATTAGTGGCGAGACCCCTCAAAGCTTCCATAACAAAATCCATGACCTAACCTGCCAAGAAAACAAAAAATCATCTATGACCTAACCAACTAGGAGACTGCCATTCATAAAGAATCATTAAACTAAGGACTAATTAGGTGCGGTGAAATGAAATAAAATGAAGTGAAATAGAATAATTTTTTTTTTATTTTTCTATTTGGTTCTAATTTTAAAATTGGAATTATCATTTTCCACTATTCTTAAAGAATGGTCATTTTATCAAAATTATTCACCTTCTAATAAAATGAATGACTATTCCATTATCTTCTTATTCCATTTCCACCTCCAATCTCACTTCATTCCGATTCATTCCATCACACCAAACTAAAACTCACTTCAAATAGGGAGGTCAAAAACCAACAGTCGACTATGTGTTTTTTTTGTTTGCCTTTTGATGCATGTGTAATGGCCAAAAACACACTAGCTAGGTTAGCCACTCAAGTTCTAAACTTCATATATATATATTTATATAGAGAGAGAGAGAGAGAGAGGTTAGCCATTCAAGTTCTAAAGAGAGAGAGAGAGAGAGGGAGGTTAGCCATTCAAGTTCTAAACTTCATATATATATATATATCTCGAGAGAGAGAGAGAGAGACTCACATCATGACCACGAACACCACCAAGATTGCTGGAGAGAGAGATGAGATATCAACAACAGATTCACCAGAATGCCTTGAATTCATAACCACAAACAACGAGCCCACTATCTTCTGATAAGAACTCAGACCCTCCATAGCTTCTGAGTTCCACTCCATGGAGCAAAACAATATGAACTGTACCAACACCAACCCAAAAACAGTGACACCCAAGAAACAACAACGCATCCAAGAAAACAAGTGACCATATCCCAAACTCCTATAATTTTTCAACACATAACCAAACTCTTCTCTCCTTGTAATTCTCTCCAAAACCCATATCACAAATCTCAGGCAAGTTGGATATAAAGTGTTCCCGAGAAGGATTTGAGTAATGAGAATTAAGAGAAGACCCGAATTGTTTTTAAAAACAATCATGTTTTCATTTGTGGGCACAAATCCACAGTTTGCAAATGTAGAGACTGTTGTGAAGACTGAGAATGTAAGTATGTGAAGACCTTTGTTTTTTAGCACTTGCCTTGCACTTGGGACAAGGCTTGTATAGAGAGAGATTAAAGTAGAACCACTTATATGAACCACTAGGAGGTAACACAACACCACATAACCCAAACACTTGATAGAGTTATACTTGGTGTTTTGTTTTTCACCATCAAATTGGGGATGATTAGCCAACCCGGACTCGATTCGATCGACACAAGTGGGAGAGTTTGAAGAATCAGAGTGATTGACAAGGGTGTCGACTCTGTTGTTTTGTGTATTTTCTTTTTTGTTGAACTTGGTCCTCATGAAGTGAAGTCCAAGCATGGAAGTGAAAACCTCCCCACCCAATAACATCAAGATTGTTAAAATCACGAGTTGGGTATTGGAGAAAACCTCCATTTCAACCGTTGACATGCTCGAGACTGTGGCTGCAGAGACAGAGGTGAAGAACACATCCAAACCCTTGGGCCTAGACGTGGCGGTTCTCGGCTTCGAGACCTCCAAAGCCAAGAATCCAAACAAAGACAAGATGATGAAGTAATTGAGCTGGATCCAAAATGGATTTATTTGAAAGATCAGTACGCGGAAGGCTGATGACACGAAACCATGACAAGAGTGATAAAAGCGAGCTAACTTAGTCCACCAATGATGTTTTTCAAGACCAGAATGTTTCATATTTTGAGTATAAGGATGGTGAAAACAAGTTGATTTGGTCAGTGAAGACTTGAAGAAATGACCAATGATGTTTTTCATGAGTAATGGGAGTGACTACAATCAACTGATAAAATTAACCTGAAATGCGATGGTGCTTATAAAGCAAGAGAAGCTGAAGCAGAGAGCTCTCGAGAACGAGTGGGATTTCACTGTACAAGAGGCCTCACCGAGCAGCTGTAATCGCAGTGTGCAGCAGTAAAGAGGAGTGGGATGGCATGGCAAATATTTAAAAATGTGGAAGGAACTTTGTAAAGGTTCCAAAGCATATGGCGAATATAGGAGTAGTGAAATGAAAAGAGAAGACACTTTGTTGAGACTTGTTAGAGAAAAATTCCTTTTAAAGGAAAGTGAGATGCAATTACTTACCAACCATTAGGCACAATACAAATGGAAAAACATAGTGTGTATTGCAACATATTCCTAATCAAAACTAAAAAATTCGGTGCGTGACAAGTTACTCTCATCCTAGCTCTATTCGATGTGAGATAAAAAAAAGTCTGAATCCTCTATTGTGCAGGTCATCGTTGTAGGATTTTTTAACACATTAAATCTATCTATTTCAACCAGATTTAAACACGGAGTAAACTAAAGATTGCAAAACTGATTTTATAAGAGGTTGATAGCAGAAGGAAGACATGATAGGGAACATGACCATGGACAAGTACGGATGGATGGATATGTGGTCCATTAAATGAAGAATGGTTGGGGTTCGTTCTTAACAGCTTTTGATTGTTAAGTTGATCAATTTTTATGATTCATTGTGAAGGATGACAAGATTCGCACTTCACCCAAACTGGGTTGTGAATTGTTGCCATTTTTAGTTGACTTACAAAAATGTTGGCTCCCCACTTCATCACCCTATCCTACATGGCATGGGTAAGTGGACTTATCCTTATTTCTCCCTCTTTTCTTTTATATTGAAGAACTGTAAAGAAGAAAAAACAATTTAGTGTTCTCTATTTCTTAGAAAAAATTTTTTTTTAATTTTTTTAACCAAACAAATTATATATATATATATATTTGTTTTGGTAAGGTAAATACTCACACACTTTTCACAAATTGTCCACTACTCTCTATCCAATAATCTTGTACAATCAAATACCTACTATACTTTGTATCTGTTTCGATAAAGATATTACATTTATGGCCATTTCTTTTGTGTGTCCTTTTGTTACACATATAATACATATAACATTAAGAATGCAACACACTTAACACATAATTATTAAATCGAGAGTAGAATAAATGCAATACCTAATACATAAAGAATGCAACACATAAAATTTTACGACACTTATCACATTGAAAATGCAAACACTTATTACATAAAAATATAACACAGCAACAACATTATTTTGAAGGATGCAATACACAAAGTAATGATCACTTGAAAGTAAATGACAGAGCCTTGTCCTGGAGAGGATTTGGGTTTTCATTTATCGGCAAATGTGTATCTGCAATGGCCAAGTACCCCAGTAATGGCGATGTTTTTAGAGAATTAAAATAGGGTAAAGTGCATAAAAGAAAGAAAAAAAATTTGCTATATAAAAAAAAAAAAATTGCAAATACAATATGGTATTCAATTAACTCTTTGAATTTTTAAAATTGGGCAAATAAGGACATTTTGTCCATTTGCCGTTACCGAAGTAATAAAATGGGAAATATCCACCAACAGAAAACCCTCTCACCTCTTTCTACCTTTCTCTCTCTACACTAGCCTTCGTTTTCTTCCTTCTACCCTTTATGCAATAAACTCAGCTTTCTGCAATAACCTCGTGTTCGAATAAATGTGTTATGCGGGTATTTTTTACGTCGTTTTTGTTTTTGTTCGACTAGATCTGTTCATATTTATTTTGTTTTCGGCTTGCCTGGATAGATATGTTATTTTTCTCTGGCTAGATCTATGATCTAGGCCGATTTGGGTTTTCCCCATCTAGATTTGATATTTTTCTCCTTGATTAGATCTTGTGCAGGGTTTTGTGTGCCGGAGCGCCTTGCGGTTGTAACTTTGGAGCGGTCGTGCTGATAGCCAGACCTTTCGATCTCTCTAGTTTGTTGTGTTCTCCCATGGTGGTTCCATTTGCAGAGTGTTGGGTTTTGTTTCCTCCACAAATTTGGAGTCTATTCTTAATTTATTTGCTTTGCTGCAAGATTTGTATGTCTTTTCTGGTTTAACTTTATACCTTTGTACTGCCATCTTGACTTTAGGCCACTGTGCATTTGAATGACAAAAAAAAAAAAAAAAAAAAAAAAAAAAAAAAAATTGTAATAAAATGACAAAAATGTCTTTATTAAAAAAATGAATAAAATATAAAATTGAGATGATGTGAAAAGACGGAGAAAGGATTTACTCTTTTTCTCTCAACAAACACATTAGAAGTTTAAAGTTACCATTGTTAGGGATTTTATTTAAATTTTATATATCAACTAATATAGAATAACTACAAGATTAATAACTAATTATAGGAGGCGAGTGATTACAGAAGAAGAAGAAGAAAAAATAAATAAAAAGATTTCATGGGTCAAGCTTAAACAAAATTATTCTAAAGTGACCAGTTGACCAATTAAGGATAAAGTAAAGAAAAAATAAATAGTTACCAAAATAATTTAAAATTTAAATGTTGATAAATGACCATTTGAGATTAATTTCACCCAACCATTTACTACACATGCGCGCCCCGCCCGCCCGATCCAGCTTGGGCTTAATTGAAAAGTTCGTTTAATATTTTATTAAACGAAATTAGGCCCGTGTTTGGACTTAAGTTGATTAACTGGGCTTATTTAAATGGGTTTTCATGAAAGGGTGTGACTGGTCCGAACTAGTGCATTAAATGGTTGCACCTGGTTTGAACCAGTGCTTCAGTTTGAACTAAGCCATCACATCCAATGCAGGTGATGGTTCAGGCTACCCGAAAAGGCACCTTGCTGCCTATAAATACCCTGCTTGAAGTCATTTGCAACTCACTTCAAAATTCAATGTTCTTCTTCTCTGATTCTAAATTTTCTCCTCTTCGATCTCTCTTCTTGCATACATATAGCAATAGTGTGAGTTTAAGTTCGGTCTATAGGAAAGAGTACTACACTGAGTTGGTTCGTCCATTTCTTCGATTTGCAGTGCTACTACCGAAGAAAGAAAGGTCGTTGTATCCAGGGAGATAGACAACACCGAGTCCGTCAGCACCATAGCGAGGCGAATCTATCTTAAGGATATAGAATCAAATTTTATCATCGACCTATTATCAAATTCTTTTATTTTTATATAGTTAAATTTTATTATATATAAGTATATTTTATTTAAAAATTATATATAGATTATTATTGTTTTATAATAATAATTATATATATATATATATACACACACATTATATTTTTACATAATATTTAAATAATAATATTATAGTATATGATACAATATTTTATACCCATTAAGCATTTGTACAAACCAAAATCTATAAAACCCAATGCTCATGCTTTGATCATATATCAATTCTCATTTTCGCTCCTTGCCCTAGTTCAGGTAGTACCATATTTCATAACTTAAATTAATCCCACATTATTGCAAGATCTGAGAACTTATATACTTAGTACTGACTAAACTTATTTTTATTATAAAGAAAGATACTAGCAAGAGTTGGACATGTGTGAGATGATGTGATGCAATGGACGATAACAAAATTCTACCAAAATAAAGTAAACTCATAATAGAACCAAAAAGTTGATATATGTGCTTAAATGCAGCGTTTATAGTCGTCTGTTGTACCACGTTATCATTATTACGGTTGTAATGAATAATTTCTCGAAGATCACACCCCGAGTCCAAAGGGTTGGCTCAAGTGGGTAAGTCACTTGACCCTGATGTCTCAGTGAATATCAGGTCTAAGATTCAAATCCTCTTCGGTGTAAACAATTTCTCAAAGGGAAGGTGTGTGAGTACACTAGGAAGACAAAAATATATATGTGTGTGCGTGCGTGCGTGCGGAACCTAGCACTTACACACACTCTCTACGTATAGGGGCTCGAACCCCTCCCTCTTCCTTGAAGATGAAAAGGTTATACCTCTAGATCAAATAGTGGATAACCAGACGAGCCCCAGTGAAACAAGGGTCATTCGTCCCGTATCAAATCTGGATGAAAAAGTGATTGGGTATAAATGGGTGGGTATGCAGCACTACCTAATAACTTGAACTTTTGGGTAAATAGGCAAGCGACTACCCGTTACAGTTAGTATCAAATCGATAAAGTCAGACGTAGTCCTTAATCCGATATCATGCCAAACGCCGACTCATAAGACGACCGAGTTTGCAACCCGGGTGGCCCACCTGTTACCCCTAGCTACCACTACCAAAAATTAATGAAAGCATGTAAAATATGGTTCTTAGTCTGAAAAGTATATATTCAGTTCTATAATATATAGTACAGTGCTCATTAGAATGAGCTTCAACTGTAAACAGTTTCAGCATGTTAATTCTTCTATATTACATTTAAAATAAATAACCTGATAAATAAAATTCTTTGAAGTCAAAAGGAAGCAGCAATATCACCTTATGTGGTAATTAAAATGCGACCTTGACAAAAAACAAGTCATTCATCATACGGCATCTAAGAACATCGATCACATGTCAGGCATAAGACCAAAACACGGACAATTTCAACAGGCACAAACTAACTCAAAACTAACTAACACCTCTTATAGCGAACATCACCTGTCTTGACAAACCAAAAAAAGTACCAGTTCTATAAGGAAACCCCACGATTACAAAAGAAAACATATCTAGATAAAGACCCTAAGACCGAAGCAGACGCCACCACAACAACCATCCTAACCCAAAGAACCCCTACTAAAAACACTAGGACTATCAGAACAAGAAGAAGACTAGACGGTATCAATGAAGGTGGGAGTACTAGCACCCACATGGGTGCAACACTATCACTATCTTTTCAAATATATATATATATATATACACACACACACATTCCTGTATCTATGATAATCAACCTTTTCATTACCACGCATTGTTTGTGACTCTGATATTGCCACGTTATTGGTATCCCTTAATTCCCTCTGAAACGATTTTAATAATATTCGTCACAAGATATATATATATATATATTCCCTCCGTCCCATTCATTTTTTTATTTTAGGATATTTCGACAAAACATCTCATATTTTTAAATTAAATGTACTATTTTTTTATAACATTTTCAAATTATACTTTTAACTAAACAACTGCACTAATTATATAATACTATTTTGTCTTTTAATAAAGATATATTTGAAACTTCACTCTTACTTATAAAATAAAAAATTATTAAAAGT